GGAAGTAGTGTTTGAATGGTTGGCTGGTGTATAGCCTAAACTTCTACTTTAAGTGATTGACTTTAAGTCAACCTTCACATTTAAAAGGCAGAGAACTGTTTGTATTTATCTACCTGCAGTTGTATGGCCACCTTGATGTCTTTGTGACTGTAATACTGTACAGGTACAGATTTCTACATTAACAAGCAAGGTTTCTCAGCACATGGAGGTTTGTGACTAGGAAGTTAAAGCGTCACAATCATTTTAGTACAGTTATCCTTTATAAGGCCCCCTTCCCCAGGTTCCCCCTTGAAGTCTTATACTTACCTGTCCCCATTTCGCCACTGGGCACTGCATAGCCTGTTCTTCAAACGTCTCCTAGACAGCCTCAGCTGTTTGAGTTTTGTTTGATGCACCACAGGAGGGAAGACTTTGTGTTATTATTTCTCAGGAATAAATGTGGTTATGACATTTTGTGAAGACTTACCTCTGTGTTCTTCTTAAAGTGTGCAGGAAAAGGGTAGTGTGCTAGAATTGTAATGCTCGGATTCTTGCCTCTTCTCCTTGCCATACTAATCTCACAATGTATGTGTGAGTATATATATATATATATATTTATGGCAAGCTTGGTGGCACTACTAGACACAACATTCCAAGACATCCCAGGAGGGTTTTTCCCTTGTTCAGTGGTACGTCTAAATCCCTCTGTAATTGCTCCCTCTGAAGGGGGGCCCACTGGGGAATAAAAGCACCTAGCAGGAATGTAACTTTCTTCCTTCCATTTTTTTCTCTCCTCTCCTCTCTTCTCCTCTCTTCCTTCCTGTGTTCTTTCCCTCCTTATCTCCTTTATTCTACACTTCCTTCCATCTTCTCTCCTTTCTTCTTTTCTTCCTTCCTTTTTCTCTTCTTTTTTTCTCTCTGCTTTTTTCTTTCCTTTTTCTCTCCTTTGTTCTACCCTCCCTTCCTTCCTTCCTTCCTTCCTTCCTTCCTTCCTTCCTTCCTTCCTTCTTTCCTTCCATCCATCCATTTCTTCCTCCCTTTCTTTCCTTTCTTTCTTCCTCTCTTGATTTCTTCATGCCTTCTTCTCTCCTTTCTTCCATCCGTCCTTTCTTCCACTCTTTTGTCCCTCCTTATCTCCTTTATTCCACACTTCCTTCCTTCTTCTCTCCTTTCTTACTTTCTTCCTTCCCTTTTCTCTTCATTTTACCTTTCTGCATTTTTCTTTCCTTTTTCTCTCCTTTGTTCTACCCTTTCTTTCTTCTTTCCTTCCATCCATCCATTTCTTCATCTCTTCCTTTCTTTCTTCCTTCCTCCCTTGATTTGTTCATGCCTTCTTCTCTCCTTTCTTCCATTCATCCTTTCTTCCACTCTTCCTTTCTTCCTTCCTTTCTTTCTTCTTCACTCCTATCTTCCTCTCTTCCATTTTTTGGCCCTTCTTTTTTCACTCTGTTTCTTCTTCTCCTTTCTTCCTCCCGTCCTTTCTTTCCTCCTGCCTCTCTTGCTTTCTTCCTTGCTTCTTCTCACCTTTCTTCCTCTCTCCTTTCTTCCATCCTTTCTTTTTCTCTTCTTTCTTCCTTCCTTCTTCTCTCCTTTCTTCCACCCTTGCTTCCTCCTCGCTTCCTTTCTTTCTCCATTCTTTCTTCTCTCTCTTCTCTTCCTCTCTTCCTCTCTCCCTATCTTCATTTTTTTCTCTCTCCTTTCTTCCTTCCTTTTTTTTCTCTCCTTCCTTCCTTCCTTCCTTCCACCCATCCATTTCTTCCTCCCTTCCTTTCTTTCTTCCTTCTTCTCTCCTCCTTTCTTCCACCCTTGCTTTCCCCTTCTCACTTCCTTTTCTTTCTCCCTGCTTTTCCTCTTTCTCTTTCTTTTTTCTCTCTCTTTCTTCCTCTCTCCCTATCTTCATTTTATTCTCTCTCCTTTCTTCCTTCCTTTTTTTTCTCCTTCCTTCCTTCCTTCCTTCCTTCCTTTCCTTCCTTTCTTCTCTGCATCCATTTTCTTCCTCCTTCCTTTCTTTCTTTCTTCTTCTTCTCTCCTTTCTTCCACCCTTGCTTTCCCCCCTCTCACTTCCTTTCTTTCTCCCTGCTTTTCTTCCACCCTTGCTTTCTCTTTTCTTTCTTCTCTCTCTTTCTTCCTCTCTCCCTATCTTCCTTTTTTTCTCTCTCCTGTCTTCCTTCCTTTTTTCCTCTCCTTTCTTCATTTCTTCCTCCCTTCTTTCTTCTCTCTCTTTCTTCATCTTTTTTCCTTCCTCTCTTTCTTCCTTCCTTCTCCCTCTCTCTGTATATGAACACACTTGCATCCTGTAACATAATAAATGTTTAGCTTGGAAATCATTTGTCCTATTTAAGGGAATATTTCAGAGCGATGGCGGAAGATAGAAGGCAGATGATAGAATCCTTGACACAAAGCACAAGGGAATGAGATAGAGATACATATTCTGTACATGACACAGGGCCTTGATAACACAAATTCAACTATTTTTATAGCATAATACTTTGATAAGCCACACAGTACACACGTAGAGGAATGATAGAGTTTATGCTCTCCGTCAGCTATAATTCCAACACTTATCTCTATTTAACAGTTTGCGATATTGCTAATATAGTGTTACTGAACAGATTACATAAATCACACTGAAAGATAAACATGTCAACTGCTAATCATGTGACTAGAACTTTCTGTTTCTCTCGCCTGGGAGTTTAAACTTTCCAGCGCCGTTGAGCTTTACAGCACAAACTAAGCTTTCCTGTTCAAATGCAATGACAGCAGCAAATATTAAAGGTTCATTTCCGGAGTTTCAACTTTCACAAACTTAAATTTGTGTAATCACCTTTCCAACAGTTTAACCCTTTATCACCATGGCTATTGGAGCCTACTGTAAATGTCCAGGCCAACTTCAGAAGTCTTAGGATGCACTTTTTTTTTTAATTGATATTGTATCTGACTTTTTATCTGCCTGGAGTTCAGCTTTAGCTTTATTTAGGAGCTAACTCTAAGGAATCATATGCCTTCCTATTATTTTAATTCTGTGAATGTATCTGTTTTTTTACCTGCCTGGAGTTCAGCTTTAACTAGGCAATAACTTTAATGAACAATATGCAGAACAATTGTTTGTTTTTTTTATTTTATACTGTTATTGTGTCTGACAATTCGACTATTGAATAGTTAACCACTTGCCGCCCAGCCACCGCATATAAACGGTGGCAGGGCGGCGCTCGTAGGCAAAAGCACGTTTTTAAACGGCTGCCTTCAAAACAGGTAGGGGGCGTGTGCGAGGCACGCGCCCGCCCTACCTGTCCCGCGGGTGTCAGCAGCAGGTCTCCGCCGCCGGGTCACGGCCAGTTTTTTTACCGGCCGTTTTCCCGCGATGAGCGGTGATCACTGACAAAGAGCAGGGCTGCATTGTTTACACACAGCCCTGCTCTGTGACAGTTCGCTGACAAGCTGAAGAGGGAGAGAAGAGTTTCTCTCCCTCGATCACCTCCCCCCTCCCTCCCCCCCCGTCCAGTACACACCCCCCGCCCCCTAGTAAAACACTCCCCTTACACAGCAAATTCTAAAAATGTTAACCCCTTCCTCCGCCAGTGACATTAGTACAGTTTCAGTGGTTTTTTTTCACTGATCACTGTATTGGTGTCACTGGGGATGTCAGTGACCCCAAGTCAGTTCCCCCCCCAGTGTCAAAATGTCCGCCGCAGTCCCGCAGTCCCGCCATAAGTCGCTGGTCGTTGTCATATTTCGCTGATTGCCGCCATAAGTCGCTGATCGGCGCCATTATTAGTATAAATAAAAATTTAAAATCCCAGTATCTTTCCCGCCATTTGTAAACGCTATAACTTTCACGTAAACCAATTAATTTACACATATTGGGTTTTTTTTTTAGCAAAGACATGTCGCAGAATGCATTTTGGCAGAAATTTATGACTAAATTTGATTTTTGCATTTTTTTTTTACTGGACATGTTTTATAGCAAAAAGTCCAAAATATTGTTTTTTTTCCTCAAAATTGGCAGCCTTTTGTTTTATAGCGCAAAAAATAAAAACCGCACATTGATCAAATACCACCGAAAGAAAGCTCAATTTGTGGGGAAAAAAAGGATGTAAATTTCATTTTCGTACCGTATTGCATGACCGCGCAATTGTCCGTTAAACTAGCGCAGCGCTGTATAGCAGAAAAATGGCGTAAATTGCAGTATTTATACCATAGATTGTAGACGCTATAACTTCCACACAAAGCAATCAATATACACTTATTGGGATTTTTTTTACCAAACACATGTAGCAGAATACATTTTGGCCTAAATTTATAACAAACTTTGAGTTTACTATATATTTTTTATAGCTGAAAGTAAAAAATATTGTTTTTCTTCAAAATTTTTGGCCTTTTTTTGTTTATAGAGTGAAAAATAAAAAGGGCACAGGTGATCAAATTACACCGAAAGAAAGCTCTATTTGTGTGAAAAAAAGGACGTAAATTTTGTTTGGGTGCAGCATTGCATGACCGCGCAATTATCAGTTGAATTAGTGCAGCACCGAGTAGCAAAAAGAGGCCTGGTCATTAAGGGGGGTAAATCCTCAGGAGCTCAAGTGGTTAAAAGGGGTTATCCTTCATCATCCTGAAGGTGGCAGTATTATTTGGAGATGGAAGAATTGTATCCTTTCAGTGAAGCCTCCAGCCTCCATGTGGTCACTATGTGAGGCTGTTTAACGTATCTTCAGCATGGGGAATTGTGTTTGGGAACAGTAAGATTGCAGGCAGAAAGGGGTTAAAGGGACTCTGTCTTGTTGTCCATTCAGGGAAGAATTAGTCTCTAAGACCTGGCCTTTTCAATGACTTTTTGTTTACATGTAAATCTGTATTTTTTTGCTAGATTTCTTAGTACTCACAAACATATTTTTTTTTAAAGCAGAGGACCTAGAAAATAAGTTTGTAGGTGTTGCACACAGGGGCGGACTGACCATTTGGAAACTCGGGCACTGTCCGAGGGCCCGGGGTCAGTAGATGGTGCCATGAGATGCCCCTGGTACCTTTTTCATAGGCTTTTTTGAGTTTTGGCAAGGACACAGGGGCCCCATGATCCCCTATTGCCCGGAGGCCCCATGAGTTGTCAGTCCACCCCTGGTTGCACAGTATTTGCGCAGCAGTTTTTCAAAAGCTATTTTTTGGGGGGGAGAAAATACAATTTTATGAATTTTAATACATAAAAAAATACATAACCCATTTTTTTTTTGTAAAAAAAACTAATGGGGTTTTGAAGGTACCATACCAAACAATAGAAAATCTAAATTTGTATAACAATTACCACTTTATTAATAAAAATGAGCCACCAAAATGGTGGAACATAACATATACACGTGTTCGTTTAAAAAGCATAACATTCTTAGGACAAAATTGACAAACATTACTGCAAGAAATGGCCTACTGGCACATACAACAAATAGACATGGCGGCCTTCTTGTACAGGTTGTGTGTGTGACCAGAGTGAGAGGAGTCCTGTGGAGCCGGCCCTTAGTGTCTGTGCTGCCAGTTGGGGTTTGTGCGCTCTGCAACCCGCCTGAAACATTCAATGTGTCATCTCAGTATAAAGATCAGCCCTGGGAATATCTGAACAGTGGAGATGAAATTGAATTATACTTACCTTGATGGAGTCTGAGTTGGATCAACCATCTGATGAGTGATTAGTATTATCCAAATCAATCTGGTTTTGATGATTTTCCACATCTATTGATATCTGATTTAATGCTGAATAAACACCAGCATCTGGTGAGTTTGTACTTTGATGGGGTGTTGAGCACAATGGAAATCACGGTTGTGGTGAAAACTTTTTGAAGAAAATAATTTTGGACTTTATTTTATTATGAACTGTTTTTTTATATATATACTATATTATGGATTGATTTGTTCAGTTTTTGCACTTTTTGGTGGCAGTGCTTACATTATTTTATACTATTTATTTATTTTGTTCTTTTTGTGTTTTGAATGTTTATATTTATATATATTTAATTATACAGGTGAAACTCAAAAAATTTGACTATTGTGCAAAAGTTAATTTATTTCAGTAATGCAACTTAAAAGGTGAAACTAATATATGAGATAGACTCATTACATGCAAAGCAAGATAGTTCAAGCCGTGATTTGTCATCATTGTGATGATTATGGCTTATAGCTCATGAAAACCCCAAATCCACAATCTCAGAAAATGAGAATATTACATGCAATCAATAAAACAAGGATTGTACATAGAACAATATCGGACCTCTGAAAAGTAGAAGCATGTATATGTACTCAGTACTTGGTTTGGGCCCCTTTTGCAGCAATTACTGCCTCAATGCGGCATGGCATGGAAGCTATCAGCCTGTGGCACTGCTGAGGTGTTATGGAAGACCAGGATGCTTCAATAGCGGCCTTCAGCTCTTCTGCATTGTTCGTTCTCATGTCTCTCATCTTTCTCTTGGCAATGCCCCATAGATTTTCTATGGGGTTCAGGACAGGCGAGTTTGCTGGCCAATCAAGCACAGTCATCCCACGGTCATTGAACCAGGTTTTGGTGCTTTTGGCAGTGTGGGCAGGTGCCAAGTCCTGCTGGAAAATGAAGTCAGAATCCCCATAAAGCTTGTCTGCGGAAGGAAGCATGAAGTGCTCCAAAATCTCCTGGTAGGCAGCTGGGTTGATCCTGGACTTAATGAAGCACAGTGGACCAACACCAGCAGATGACATGGCTCCCCAAATCAACACAGACTGTGGAAACTTCACACTGGACTTCAAGCATCTTGCAGTGTGTGCCTCTCCATTCTTCCTCCATACTCGGGGTCCTTGGGCCTCTCCATTCTTCCTCCATACTCGGGGTCCTTGGTTTCTAAATGAGATGCAAAAGTTGATCTCATCAGAAAAGAGGGCTTTGGATCACTGAGCAACAGACCAGGTCTGTTTTTCTTTTTAGACCAGGTAAGATGCTTCTGACATTGGCTTGACAAGAGGAATACGACATTTGAAGCCCATGTCCAGGATCCGTCTGTGTGTGGTGGCTCTTGATGCACTGACTCCAGCCTCAGTCCACTCCTTGTGAAAGTCCCCAAAACTTTTGAGTGGCCTTTTCCTGACAATCCTCTCCAGGCTGCGGTCATCCCTGCTGCTTGTGCACCTTTTTCTTCCACACTTTTCCCTTCCACATAACTTTCTATTAATGTGCTTTGATACAGCACTTTGGGAACATCCAACTTCTTTTGCAATTCCATTTTGAGGCTTTCCCTCCTTATGGAGGGTGTCAATTATGGTTTTCTGCACAACTGTCAGGTCAGCAGTCTTTCCCATGATTGTGATTTCTACTGAACCAGACTGAGAGACCATTTATAGGCTCAGGAACCCTTTGCAGGTGTTATGGCTTAATTAGCTGATTAGAGTGGGACACTTTGAGCCGAGAATATTGCACCTTTTCACAATATTCTCATTTTCTGAGATTGTGGATTTGGGGTTTTCATGAGCTGTAAGCCATAATCATCACAATGATGACAAATCACGGCTTGAACTATCTTGCTTTGCATGTAATGAGTCTATCTCATATATTAGTTTCACCTTTTAAGTTGCATTACTGAAATAAATGAACTTTTGCTCGATATTCTAATTTTTTAGTTTCACCTGTATATATCTTTCATTATTTATAATTTTTGGGGTTATTATTGCATTTCACTAGAGAGCGCTGTTTAAGTTATTTCTACTAATTTATATTTTCAATTTATTTAAAATAGCAGCTCTAGTTACAATTTTGAGTTATATTTAATTATTTCACATTTTTGGCGTGGTGATATAAGCTATTGATTGATTAATTAATTCATTTTTAGCATATATATATATATATATATATATATATATATATATATATATATATCAGATTGATGCTGGGTTAGTTGCTCCTAATGGCACATACAGCAAAATAACATAGCTTTTCCCAGACTAATACTTTGTGAGTTACCCCAACACGTTTCGCGGGATGCAGCCTGCTTCTTCAGGGAGATAAAGCATATATTTCTGAAATTCTAAAAAAAAGTAGGCCAAAGATGTAAGCCATAAGTGCATAACAAGTCATAATAATAAAAATGACACAAACAGTATTAGCATTTACCAGTTGTTGATATTAGTGACTTCATATAAAGCCAATGAAATGACACGAGCATCTGATTCCGACATAGATAGAGGGGAACATAATTTTCTTTTCATTTTTCTCCTTATATGTGTGATATTTTTTTTGAGCCATCATAAAGCCCTACTGTTAAGATTGGTATTATGTATATATTTTGAGTTGATCTAATTGATATTTATGTATATACGTATCACTATTATCATTTGTAAGGTGAGAATTATCATTTACAGCCAAGAGTTTGTCCAAATCCCATTTATCATTTTCATCAATATAGTCCATATTATCACTTTCCTCCATTAATTCAATTAGTTCCTGCAGGGTTTTAAAGTCCTGTCTTTTATAGTTGGAAAAATCCAAATTGGATAGACAACTCTTGCGGGTTGTATTTTTAGCATGTAACACCCTCAATAGGATCAAAGTCTTTCTCAGGACAAAAATCAAGACCCAAAGATAGTATTTCTTCTTCCTCTAAAGAAAGGGGAAAAGAAGACTGATTACCTCTAGGGTGTTCTGTCTGTTTGTTCCCGTGTTACAATTTGATCCAGATTGGTTTGTATTGTTTTTGTTTTCTCCCTTGGGATTCACTAAAAAAGAAGGGCGTTGGAGTCTAAAGGCATTAGTATGGTCACGTGGATTTTCACATGGTAATTCAAGGGACCACACCATGTGGTGTTAATGTTGGTGTGGTTGTTACCCAGTGAAATTGGGTTCATGTACAGGATGATGTAGCTGTTCAGACTGAGTATTAGATAAAGATTGTGAAAATAGTGGTGAAGGAAAACTCTGTTGTGTGTTGATTTGATCATATAAGTAAGAATGAGGGGGGTTAATTTTGTGAATTTATTTTAGATTGTTTGGAGGTTCCCCCATTATGTGGATTGAAACCCCCTTTATTCTTATGTTTTTTACGGAATTTAAAAAAGTGTTTCTTCGACCCTTGAAATTGCTGTTGAGAAGAAGTAGATAAATGCGAGGAAGAATCTGAAACAGCCTCATCATCTGTTTCAACTACATGACCCTCAGCGTCTCTTTTGATTTGTTGTCTAGTTCCCTGTCATCTATAGGCGTTCTTGCTTTTGAAGGCCACCCCATCTTTAAACAATTTAATGTACTTATCCTCAATTAGATTGGTATTACATTTTTCTAAATGGACCTTCAATTCCATGTCTTTCTCCTTGAAACGTGCATGAGACAATAAGTCATTTCCTTGTGCATAGAGGGCTCCTATTTCCTCATCAATCATTATTAATTCTCTAACGTATTGTTCCACCTGTAGACTCATCATCCCCTGTGAACATCTGGATAGGACTTCCTCCCATTTAATTCTAAAGTTATCTGATATCTCCTTCAGATGTGGAAAGATCTGAACCTTAAGGCCCATTGGGCTCAGGTTCTCCTCCAAATATTTTTCATATGCCAATACTTACTAGATTTCTGTTCCAACAACCTTTTAAAAGAGTAAAAGAACGCATTAATGTCAATATCACATTTTTCAAGTCTGGTACTCTGGACTTGTAGTTTAGCCATCATAATATTCCATAGTTTGCCCTAAAATTCAGCTATCATATAGACCTACAAGAGGAAAGAAAAAAAGGGGGGGGGGACATTTGTATGTGTAGCAAACTGTAATATGGTTGCAAGGATATTCTCCCAAATGGTGTTTGCCACCTTAGAAACAAAATGATTGAAGAGTATGGACTGGGAAATGAAAACCTATACGGTCTCCTAGTCTTTGCTGGAAGGATTTACTGGTATCACACCCCTTATTAATAAGACACTGTGGATAGGGGTCCTAACTTGAAAAAACTGGTACTGGAATTACTGCCCATGATCTGAATTTCGTGGAGATACCTCACATGCATGTGACGATTGATTGCTGTTTGCATGCATGCAAGATCGATGCGTGCGTTCATCTTTGCCAATTCTTAGGCCCAAACACCCCATTATCAACCCTGTGTAGGAA